TTGCCAGTAGCATGTAAGAAAAATGTCCTTGTTTGTACTAGTTGATCAGCAAAGTTCAACGAACAGTTACCTGGTTATGATATACGTGAAGTTATCGTATGAACTGTATGCGAAAGGATGATGGTAGCAAGTTGTAGGACCTCTTGACCACAAGTCAATTTAGAATGAAATGCTACAATTTTTAGGGGGTCTTTTCACTGCCAGAGATTCCTGTTAAGTAGCGTTAGAAGCTGCTTGAAGCTGAGCTTCTTTGGGTAGATTGGTTCAAGGATCATATTGTTTATACTAAAAGATATGCAACCATATCATTAACAAGGAAACATATCATTTGTGAACACGATAAAGTAAATAACACCTGACTTCTTAAGCTTTGAAGTGTACTTTCTCTGCTAGCATGGGAAGAAGTATGTTAGCCAGAGAAAATCACGAACATCGTGTTTGAACCTAAGAAGCCCATGTATACAGAAGATACTAACAGTAGGTCAATGCAGGCTATTTTTGGCATTTACAGTATATGGAAATCATTTAGTTGATGATTTTTTAATTGATTACAGTTTATTTTTATTGCTGGCTAGATTAATGCATAGATTTGGTGAGGATATGATTGTGAAGTGTTCTTTATGAGCACAAATATACTGTGTAAATATAGAGTTGCTTTGATTAAGAAATATTCTATCTTCTTACGTTTGTAATAAAAGGCAAATAATGTTTGTACCTGCTACTAGTTTGTACCTATTCTTTTAACGCTACCCTGCCTGCCAAAACATTGTACGTATCACAATAGAAGAGATCTGAGTTTTTCAGTGTGAAAACCAATAGCCTCCTTAGAGGTTATTGTATGTTGCATATTTATTACTGTTCTTCTGTGCTTTTGCCTCCCTTCCATATTGAATTACTGTAATGTCAACGTTTTAGTGTTCTGGCTGCATTAGACAAATGCAGGAAGTTACAACCTGTCACAGCGGGACTTGAGCTTCCATGAATTGGCTGTTTTACTCCCTCGTGCAGATTTTCAGTAGACTGATTCCAGTTTTTATAGTTTAGCCTTGATAGCTTCCTTGTATGTCTTGCAGATAGAATTTAGGACTAGGGAATGTGGCTTCATAAGAGAAGGGAATATTTTTACCTTCATGGTCTCCTCTTTTCACAAATCTTGAGAGTGTCTGGGATTCCAAGAATTTAAGTCTTTGTAACTCTGGAGACGTGAACAGATCTCAGCTGCAGCTCATGTGTAGCTTTCTTCTCAAGAAGTTTTATATCATGGTTTATAGAGGCTGTTCATAGCATGCAAGAACTTTCGGCAAAATCCTGTATTTTTACAGCTGGATGTTGGAGGTGTACTGAGATGAATTCAAGACCATTTCCATACTAATCTAATGCTTCCTCTTGGCTTTTGTAAGAAACAAAGAACAATTTTGAAGATTTTTTTTTTTTTAACCCTATTATAGAAGTGCATTGTGGAATTCTTGGATTAGTAATTTGCTGCTTGTTTTATAAGGGGGGAATTTCCATTTGCATTCTCTTTTAAAACAGTTTTTGAACAGTGCCAGTGGTAAATGTGTCCGTGTGGTTAACATGAGGTGCAGTTAGAGCCCGATCCGTCTGGATGCTGGGGCTGAAGGTGCTGTGCAGCACGTCAGTGTGGGTGCTTCTTGGGTGAAGCATGCAAAACCGCACAGCAGCGTAGTCAGAAGGTGTAGTTTTTCCTTGTGCTTTGCCTTTGTAAATTACTTGCTGCAGTGCTTGCTCTCTTCCCCAAGAATGGCTCTTTACTTCAGAGACTGTTAATAAACTGCTGCTAATCACAACAGGGTGTCTAGTAACAGAAGAAATTCACTGTTATTGCCTTAAATTCCTAATTTTATACAGGTGACCTTCCATTTGATATCCCTATTTGGCTTTTTCCTTCTTTTCCTTTTTCCTCTCTTCTCCCACCTTCTAACTAGTGTTTGAGGCAGTTTTTTTTTTTCTTTTTTCCTCCCCTCCTTCCACGTTAATGGTTGGAGAATTATGGAGAACCTGTTGTATAGCTGTAGGCATAAAGTGTGGTGTGGTATGTAGCCAAACGCTTCTTGTTGTGCTGGCGAATGTTTTGAATGTATTTTGGAGCTATTCACAGCTTCTAGGTATCATAAGCATCCGGAAATAACTCGTTAAATTCTCCAGATAGATCCCTTGGCTGATTACTGGAGATGTAGAAATACCCTTTCTAGAAAGCATTCATCTACTTTTTGGGGCTCCTAAGGTTGCCACTGATAGCTGAGTTTACTGCTTTGAAGACCGTATCTTGTGATGTTAGTGTTTGTGACCAATTTTGCAGTATTATCCATCATGCTGTCCTATGGACATTGCCTCAATTTGTTTACAACCAAAACAGAACAAAACAAACCCCAGAAAACAGACTGTCTGTTTTTTACCTCCCAGGTAAAGGTACTGGCCCTCCTTTCAAAAAAAGAAAAAAGTGAAGGCTCGCCATTTGTGGTTCTGGATCTTAGCGGATAACCTGCATTTGATCCTTTTTTGGGCACTGGGACTTGCAGCTTGTCCTCCTACACTTCAAGCCAGTTTTTTAGCCCTCCCCTATTTTCCAGTCCAGAAATAGTGTTCTCTGCCTGAATCTAGTTGTTTTTTAGCTATACTTTTGTGCATCATGCCAGCTAGACCAGCTACACAGGATTATCCAGTTTCTTATCCATAAGCACTAACACTTGGATTTTATTTATTTTTAAACTTAACTACCAGCCTTCATAGAACAGTGGGAAAAGGTCCAATTTGTGAGTGCAGTCCTCTTTGGGGTCTCGCCTATTAACCTGGGCTAATGGCTGGATTTCTTTAGCCAGGAAGCTGCCTGGGCCTGGGCATCTTGCCTCTGTTGGTGGAATAACTTGGCTTGTGTGGAAAATAATCCTTTAAAAATAAGCGTGGGCTATTTTCCATGCAGAAGGAATCAAAGTAAATGACTGTGAACGCTGACTGCTGTGTGACTGTTTTCTAGATGTTTTTTCTCTAGCATGTAAGGTTCTTAGTAAGGTGGTTACTCTGAATGCCTGAGTAGCATTTACAGAGCAAAATAATTCTGTTGTGTGGCATGGATACAATTCTCCAGCCTGACAGGCTTGTTTATTGAGAGACCTTGGTGTGCCAAGACCTATGGCATGTGCACTGACGTCACATGACGCTTTTTGGTTTGTGGTCCCGTTGTGGAAGTCTTAGACAAAGCTCTAGTTCCTTCTTATCTCAAATGTAGCTAGATACTATTTTTTGTTTTGGGGGCTTACACAATTTTTATATCTTATATTTAGATAAACATCAATTTTACTTAAGAAAAAGCAATTTTGTTGAAAGAGACAGCTGTAGGTAGAACATCTTTTCATACTGATAGTTACAGGAGAGAAGTAGGTGCGTGATGTGTTAGCCAAGGGAGCTCCCTTGGATGCTGCTCCTGGAATGCTTTCACATCTTTAAGCTTTTTTCCCCTTATTGATTATTTGAAGTAGGCGGACAAAGGAAGTGTCCGTGTTTCCAGCTGGGTTGTTTTGGAGGTGTGTTCCCTCAATGAAAAAATGCGGGGATGCACCTGCTCACGTGGCTGCAGCACGAGCTGAACCAAAGGGTTGGGCTGATGCGATCTGGTGGGGCGGGAAGTGACACAGGTTTGGGAAGTGTGGAACGTTAACGTGGCCTCTTGGAACACCTCGGTGCCGCTCCTGGCTGCCGCGCACAATCCAGTCACCTGTCATCAGGCAGCACCATCCTCTGTGGGCTTTGGGGAAGGTGAGCTGTGGTCACGAGACCTGGGTGAGGGCTGTGGGTTGGAGGGGAAGCGTACATAATGAGACAGGCAATCCTCAGGACTAATGTAACTTTGGTCGATAAACGTGTTTGGGTTGCGTCGTCCAGCAGGAAATGTCAGTTCTATGTTTATAGATTAAAGTTACCGTCTAAGCTCCATGAAGGTCTTTACAGTGAGTCAAAAGAGAAATCCTCTGGGGAACTGTGAAAAGTCAAGTTTCTATAAAGCTTATTTCTACTCTTTGAACAATCTTTCTAGTGTCTTTGCCCTCTCTTTGAAAGGGAGAGAGAGAGAGAGAGATTTATATTTAAGATGTTACCTACATGGCACGACATACCGAAATGCACATCATCCTCAAAACAAACTAGTTTGTTTGATACTGGCGTTTGTTGCATCTGAAAGAGCCTTGCAATCACAGCTTGTTTGTCACACCAAAATTATTTGTAATGAGTGGTTTAATCTTTTTTTGGCTAGGTAACTTCAGTATCTTATACACTACTGTGATGTTTGGAGGGGCCTACGTTTCCTGGTACTTGAAAGCGTAACTAAACACCTAGTTACCTGTAAGTGCAGCTTGCAAACTATCCTTTAGTCTGCCCTTGATCTGTATATAATTTGAACTAACCTTATGTTTGCTCTTTTTTTAATGCAAAAGGAAATAAAAAATTATTTTGCCTGTTTTGATAAACAGCCAGAGGTCGGGGCGGTTCCCTCCTGGAGACCATTAGGGCTACTTTGCTGTTGTTTGGGGACTAACTTTTGATGGTGGCTTCTGTAGCTTGCTGAAGGTGCAGTCGTGCTGATGTCCCTGATCTTACTGCTCCGGCCAACAGGGAAAAAAGCAGGAAGTTTTCCTCATGCAAAGTGCTTTTTTGCATCTTTGCCTTTCAGCTTTGCTGGTATAGCTAAGTCAGAGAGCGTTTGAATTGTGATGAGGCGAGGTGTGACAGAAAAGAATTTAATAGTTGCTGCTTCCCCCCCTCCCCCATTTACTTTGTGTTTGACAGCGCTTAATTTCTTTCCCTGCTATAATTAAACGGCCTGTCCTAAGATTAGGACAGCAGCGCAGTGTGGGCCAAGGGCTCTTGCGTGGACAGCGCCTGCGCTGGCAGTTGCACCGCTGCTGGTATAGCTGCGTCGTGTCCTCAAATAAAACACAGATATGTTGGAGGAGGGGAGACGTTCGGATTGCAGCGACATGAGAGACTTTTGCCAGCATGGCTGTCTGTCAGGATCTTACTTCCTCGCAGCACTGACTGACATGCGGTACTGGCAAAACTCTGTAGAGGGGTGTGTGTGTGTGTGGCGGGGAGGGTTAAGGCATTGCCTTCTTTTTATGTGGGTAAGAAAGGTTTGTCAGTAAAATATGAGACTGTAATAAAACAGCAAAACTTTATTGCTCTTTTTTCAGGACTGCATTTTTAATTGATGTATCAGTGCCCATAATGTGGCAAATACAATTTTTCTCGTTCTTCCTTTTAAGGAATTTTTTCAGAGTAGGGGAGAAATCTGAGGAATTTTATTTATTTTGGTTCACAAGTCTGGCTACACAATGGACCCAGTTTTTTGTATACTTATTTCTAGCTTGCATGTAACTTCAAAATGGAAACCATCCAACCTGTAGCAGAAGTTTCCCAGTTAGCTCATTTATTTCTTGCTCGTTTGCATTTTCTGCAAGCTGGGCCTGTAGGGTTGTAACAAAGCGAGAGCGCAGGGAAGCTCCAGGAGACTTGGGCTGCTGAGGAAATGACTGTTAACAGGGAAGGTAGCAGGCATAAGCCCTTCAGCGGTAACTACGTGTTCTGTTGAATGTTTGTAAAGCATTAGAAACAGTGCTTTTCCGTGTTTCAGATCTATTTGTTTCACTTTCCTTTTCAGCTGTCAACACTTCAGATTGTAACTGAAATGCCTTACTTTTTTAAGACATTTCTTTCCTTCTGAAATACCTCATCTGTTCTAGTTAGTAGATCCATGACAGTCCTGGAGCTGAAAGTGTGAAGCAGGTTCTCAGGATACTTGGAGAAAAGGTGCCAGCAAAACTGTGTTAAATCTAAAGTGTTTGTGGTATTCTGCAACAATATGTATCTAAAATTTGCCACAAGGTTCTTCGGTTCTATTCATGTGGTTCAGTCAACAGAGCAGAAATTTTGTGGCAAATTTAGTTAAAATGATCTGGTTGCATACTTCATTAAATACATGAATCATATAGTTTGAGGGTTTTTTTAATAACTCGATCTGTTTCAGTGTCTGGAAATGCTTGTTGCGAATACCCCCTTGTCGATCTCCTGCAGGTGCTGAAGGTTTGAGGAATTGATAGGAGTTTATGGTGGTTTTTGCTAAAGCATGGTAGTATACTTTCCAATATTATCACTTTAGGTTTTAGAGTTAATGGTAAAATAACTTGGGTAATGTATGTGTCTGAATATTTCAAACAGTTTGGAGAACTGGAGAGGATAAGAGTATCTGTACTCTTTAATCTTAAAGATCATTTTTGCAAATGCAAGTGCTGGTTTGGATATTCAGCAAATAGAAAAGAGTAATCTTTAGACTGCTTTCAGTGGTTGGGAAGTTGCAGAACCTCGATATGCCTAATTGGTTATGTTGGTCCTATATATACGCTTCAAATATGATGTTGAATTTGTTTTGGAATTGACTACAAAATATTCAGAGTTTTTTAAATGGTTTTGTGCAGAAGTCCTAGATAACCAGTTGTGGTAGTGGGTAGGGGGCGTTTTATTTTTCTTTGACTGCTTGGGAATCCAAAACTGTACAGAAAGATCACTTCAGCTGATGTCACAGGCCTTGCAATGTTAAAAAAAAAGTCCCTGTCAAGCACTGAAAGAAGCTTTAAAAGAGACACTAGGCTCCTAAGTTGAATTTTTGGCCGCTATTTGACCAGTGGGGAAGTACTTTAGCGCACACGGATGATTGCTGGTTTCACTGCTTTGCCTAGTTTTGTTTCCTCAGTTCCTCAAGAAGTGAAACAGCCTAGATGTCTTACAGTGTGATTCATTAGGCCATATTGGGAGACAGACCGTGTAGAAACACGTGGTAACTAATGGAAGGCAAAGCCCAACTCCCCCATCCACAACAGGACAAGCAGCTGTGAAGTGAGAGAAGAGGGATGAGTAAGGAAATTGCTTAATTTATATTGGAGATTGGATCTGAAGAAGTTTCCTTTAACCCAGTAATGATCATATGGACTTGCAAAAAATCAGATTACAATTTTTCTAAGTGTCTTTAACATCAGTCACTTCTCTGCCTTCCTTTGAACCTGTGCTGACTGATTAGTTACACTGCCTGGCAAAAAGTGAGAGAGGGACTTGAAAGTGAAGTAGGGTGTCAGAGTGAAGGGTTGCTGCAGCTTTTAAGTGCAAGTACTGGAGACTTGGGTATTGTCAATGTGTAACTTTTTATTCCTCTAGCTGGAAGTCATAAAGCTTGTTAAATGTTGTAGGTGTTAGGGGAGCAGTGATTAGAACATTGGTACATTAAAAGCCTTATGTCTTGTACTGGCAACTTGTCCTTGTCTCAAATTTTTACCTCAGAATTGCTGTCCTGAATTACCTATTGCAAAAGAAATTCCTTTAAAAAATTGCTGATTAGACTTTCAAAGTCAATATATCTATGTGTGAACAAGTCCTGTTTTATGTTGTATTTCAGATCATCAGTGGGAGAAGAGCAGTAATGGTATGCCTTTAAAAATTGTATGCTCACCAGGATTAAGCCACATTCTGATGTTAGTGTGTAAGATGATGTAACTTGAATACTAATTTTTTGTTTTGTTTCTTTTAAGCAAATGGTTATGAGCCTTAGAGTTTCTGAACTGCAAGTACTTCTGGGTTACGCGGGGAGGAACAAGCACGGACGAAAACACGAACTTCTCACAAAAGCACTGCATTTATTAAAGGCTGGCTGCAGTCCCGCTGTACAAATGAAAATCAAAGAACTCTATAGGCGAAGGTTCCCTCAGAAAATCATGACACCTGCAGACTTATCTATCCCCAGTGTACACTCAAGTTCCATGCCAGCAACTTTGTCTCCGTCTACCATTCCACAGCTCAGCTATGATGGCCACCCCGCAACATCACCGTTGCTTCCCGTTTCACTTCTGGGACCTAAACATGAACTGGAACTCCCCCATCTTACATCTGCGCTCCACCCTGTCCATCCCGACATCAAACTTCAGAAATTACCTTTTTATGACTTGTTGGATGAGCTGATAAAACCTACAAGTCTAGGTAAGGCTGCAAACGTTGTAATAACAATATTTGAAAACTTTTTAGGAGTAATGGATGAATTCAGCTGCTAGTGTACTATCTGGTTAAATATTGCATCACGCCACTGTTTAGAGAATTGCTATTTTTGGTAACTTTTGGAACAGATTGTTCTACAACACATGGAGAGACATCTTACGTAACGCTCATTAGTTGCTCTAGCTGAGCTACTAAGTATGGTTCAAAGTTCCATTATGTTTAAGGGGTGAGTTTGACAAGAAACAAACTAAACCTTGGAAAAAAGAGAACTTAAAGAAAATATGAACTACTGAAAGCAGGCAGTTAAACTAAAGAATGTAATTAAAAAAAAACCCCAAACCCTAAGTCCATCAAACCCAAGAAATCTAGTTGTCTGTGCTGTGAAAGAATGTCAGACTAGGTATTTGCTGTGATCCCTTATGGTTCTAACATCTGAGTTTAGGAACACTTGTGGTTCTTCTACTGTTTTGACTGTTTTGTTTTTTTTTTTCCTTTTAAACTCTTGTATTAACCTATAAAACACTTGTGTAGCTGCTGAGAATATTCTGACGCTTACTGAGCGTTATATAACAATGTGTGATTTTTCTGGCTCTGACTCCGCATAACACTTAAGAGTGTGGTTAACTTTTAATACTCTTAAATACAATAGTGTGGTAGATTTCTGGAGGGACTGCTTGCATGTTGGAACGTTCTGCTGTTTTGAAACCCTGGAAAAGAATCACTTTGAGAATAGCTAGTAGGGGGAGGAGGGTATTTGTAAGGGCAGATATGGAGGGATGGTGGGTGAGTGAGTGAGGAGACTGTGCTTTGTGAAAGAGAACACTCCTAAACAGCAACGAGCAGGTAATTTCTATTAATAGACTAGTCTGCTACAGGGATGAAGGAGAGGCGTGTGAGTAGCGGTCTGTAAACTTCTGAAGTGTGATCACCTGCACAGTTGTTTGCATATTTTTTGTTTTAACCTGTTAAAGTTGAGACGTTGAGAGAGAGAGCAGTTGATAATCTCTGGAATAAAATGAAGTGTCGCTTATGGTTCAGATACTCTTTTAAGAGGTATACTATATATATTTAGCTTTAGTCTAAAATCTAATTAATTAATAAGCATTCCAGGCGGTGCTGGCGGTGCAGGATAACTGGGTAGTCAGAATGTGTCTAATCACTTTTATATTATAAATACTCCAAAAAATAATGGTATAATTTCAATAAGACATTCCAATGAAGGAGTTACAGTATGCATTTATTCCTAGAAATGGTAAGAACACTTTACTGTCAGCTTCATGCCTGACAAACCAGTCGTAAATTAAGAGATCATAATTCACACTCTGTCATGCCTTATTGCTTAAGGAGTTTATATACAATATGGTATTTTTCCCCTTTGTGGGCTCTCAGAATGTCAGGGTAGGAAAATGGAAGAAGCTGAAATTCCAGCCAAGTACCTTTCAAGCACTGTCTGTCCTTTAAATTAATAACTTATGGGTATGTTTTGTGTTTTGGTTTGCATCTGCATCCTGTGCTGCCTTTTTGCCTTGCTTATCTGAGGCAGTACTACTGAAAAGTTATTTTTCCTAAGCTTGTTGGGGAAGAGAGAGCTTCAGTGTCTATGTGAGAAACAGTTGTGTTGGTTGCTTTTGGTAGTGGTTAAGTAATGTTGTTGCAGATTATAAAATTGCTAACTACAAATGTCATGAGGATATTTTTAAGTAATTAATGTATATGCTAATCAAAAAACCCCATTGGATTAAAACCCAGTGATATACAGTTTTATACACTTTCAAAGCAACTTAAAGCAATTTTGCATACAGGTCAGCAGTTTTAAACGTAAATAATGTGGACTTGTATCTCTAATTACAGAATGCAAAAAAAGCTTTGTTTAAATTTCTCCATATATACAGTTACTGATGTTTTAACTAAAAACAACATTGAAGGTTTTGCTGAACATTTGCCTCAAATGGTTGGGATATCCTCCTCACTGCTGCAAACAATGTGGGCTTGGCATTTAAATGTCAAACTTCTGAGTCCTCTGCCTTTGTTTTCAAATGGTTGATGCATAGTACAAACCTTCTGAACTTCTCCTTGGCATCTGGCCAGCACTTCAGGGTCTCCTGCTTGCTTTTTCTCCCCGGATTCCTCACAGGGGGATGCAAAACTGGTTTCACTCTCCTTCCCTCCACTACAAGAACAAATTGATGACCTGAGCTGGGATTTTGAATGATTATCTCCCTGCTTAAAGTGGAACCTGCTAATAGTCCCTGGAAAGGATAAAATGCACATGGGTGCGTGTGAGAGAGAGAGAACAAGAGCAAGTGCCATTGATTTCAGGATCATTGGATTCTTCTGATATGATGGTCATTACAGAGAAGTTAGAAAAAGCACATCTCTGGATGTGATTCTCCCCTGATCTTTCCC